CTGTGTAGGGATATCTGTCTCCAATGGTGATAGTCTTTAAGTTGCTAATTATTGGATAACCTCAAAAGAGATTTGAACCAAAATCCAATGACTTCTAAGTCCAAAACCTTGGAATAGCAGTCATCTGCTTCTTCTCACACAGGGCATTCCAGCTGTAAGTCCAAAGGAATAGTTCAGTTTCATTAATCTGCAACAGGTGTGTTTAACGTACAGTCCTATTCACTTTGTGGGGTTTCCAAATTGGATCCTTCTGATATGGCCTATGAAAAATGCTATACACCTGGAAAAAAAAAAATCTAACATCCAGGTAACCTGCAACATGAAGCCTGGGTCAGTAAGGGTTGAAAAGATACTCAGTTAAAAATACATGATTAACAAAATAATACAGGGCAGATTCTCTCATTGGATACTTATATAAGTAATGTTAATTGTTTTTCCCAAGGGCAGGTTACCCCTCCTTCGTTTATCCACCAACAAATGTCCAATCACCTTCTCAGAGACAGATATATACCCCCCATTCAGGTCATGTATTTCCATCGAAATTCACTGAACACTATTGTAGGGATGACTATTAATTTGGGCTGCCTGTTGAATAGTGCTATCTGGCAGCAACTATTTTACCTCCTGTGAGAGTTAGGTGTATTGTGCCATTCTGGTCAACAGGAACGTGTGGAGTTAATCAGGTTGCAGTTTGATTGGAGGGTGTGGTAGTTATATAATCTGGTGTCAACTTGAGAATATAATAGTGAAGGGGTGGAGATTAGCCTGTCAGTCAAGTCGCAGCTTGATGACCTCATCTGGAGGCGTGAAGGAGATAAGTAGCTCATTGGAGGGCAGATAGTCTCTCGCTACTTCATCTTCCTGCTGACAAGCCACATGGAGCTATGCTGATGGAGCCAGCGTCCTGGAGTTGGAGGAGTCACGTGGAGACCCACACCAATGCTGAGAGGCTTCACTGCCACTGGATCTACAAGACTTTCCACCCACTGGCCTGTGATCTTTTTGCATTCCGCATTATTGCATGTGTTCCATGAGGCTGAAGAGGAATTGGCCATTTGGGCTAATATCGGACTCATGGACTTGATCTGGATTGCGCTGGGATGTTTTCTTAATATACAATTGAGCTTTTATATAAATCTCTTTTATATACACATATGCCTATCTCTGGATTTGTTTCTCTAGTCAACGCAGACTACCCCCCCCCCCCCAGAATCAATAACTGGAAATCCAGAAAATTAATACTAAGATTTATGTAGGAGATAATACACTGAAAGAACAGGGCAAGAAAACTGATGCAGAAGGCTGAATTACAGAGCTTAAAGACAAAACTCTCAATATCAATCTACCAGAGAAATAACCTAAAAAAAGAGCCCCCCCCCCAGAAAAAAAATCTAAAGAAAGCCTAAGAATTATGTGGGACACTATCAAGAGGAATAATATAAGTATGATAGTAGGAATTCGAGAACAAGAAGGCACTAAAAAAAGTATAGAGAAAAATTCCAAAGAGTTTTTGAAAGAAAATTGTCCTAATATAAAAGATAAGCATTCAAGAAGCTGAAAGAATTGAAAACAGGGTAGGCTCCAAAGAAAATCACCATAATATATCATAATCATTCTTTCCACAATCAAAGACAAGATCAAAACCCTGAGAGCAGCTCAGAATAAATGAAAAGTTACTGGCAAAGCTCTTATTTCTCAGCAGAAACCAGGCACTGGAGTTAACACACACAAATGCACAATATGAATTCTTTTCCAGGTAACACCTGGAACATTCC